TTTCTGGAATGATACAAAAGGATGATTGTCAAACAACTTGAGGACCTCAAATGAAAGGTATGTGGAGATACACTTGGGAACTGGTCTCTACATCCGTTCTGTCCATGAAGGACATGATATGACCATCTGTTCCACTTGGAGAGGGTTTCCAAGCTGTGCCCACATTTACCATTTTCACTGATCCACCCTGGGAAGTGGAAAAAATGAGATTCACCCCATTTTGCAGGCGAGAACATCAGAACTCAGTGGGACTGAGTGGTTTGCTCAAGTTTTAAATTCTGCCTGCACAGGTCTTCCTGTCTTGCCTCCTTAGCACATAGTTTACCACTTCTCCATGACCAACTTGGCAGCCTCCAGGGCCTGCTGAGCTCCAAGTGGCTAAATTAGGTCTTGTTTCTATGGCATGGTGAAATCGATGCCTTCCTGTCTTCAAGGCCTAACTGATTCTTCCTAGGTTCCTAGAAATCCTCCAGCTCTGAGGAGACATTGGCTTCTGTCTTCTGGGTCTGGGCCTTATTCCTGCCTGGAGGGTTATGGAGGAACCCAGAGCTCCATGTTCACACTAGTCTGACCTTGGGGCAGCAGGACGTGTCCAAGGCTGTGAATTTTGGGAATCCATGTGAGCTCAGTCAGCACTTAGTGTGCCTGACTTCCATCCAGCCTCTGTCCTGGCCCGGCCTAGGGGAATCCATTTTCCTGCTGGCCCAGGGACTTTTAAATTGGGTGCCCAGAGGTCTGGGCTTCAGCAGAGGGGCTTTCTCCTCTAGTATGGAGATGCCAGGGGCTATGTGACTTGAAGACCCTGGAGCTGTGGCTCCCAAGTGCCAAGACTCTTAAGTCTCCCTCTCCCCACATAAAATTTAGGTCTTTATGAAGCCAAAGTTTCTTTCTAAAGACTTGCTCTTCCCTCTGCCTGAATCTTGACTCCACCCTCTTCTACTTTACCTCTGGCAAGCTACATCTTTACCTGGAGAACGCTTCCTCAATTAGGACACAGCTAGACCCTGTCACCATGTCTCCTTTCACCTCTAGAACCACTGTGGGCACAAGCCATGTCTGTCTTTCTGTGATCCCATCCACCTAGTGCCTATCTTCTCTGAGTCCACATCAATGGACTTGGGGGAGCTGAGCTCAAAAGATGACCCCCAAACAGTTCTGCTTCTTCCTGTATGTGCTTTCTTCTGCCCCATCCAGAATCAGAGACTATGTCTTCTCTGCTTGAATTTTGGCTGGGCCTGTGGCTGCTTTGAGGAAATGACCTGTGCCGGGACTGGCACCTTCTGCTCCTTTCCTCTTGGGACACTTTTCTTGGGGTGCTCCTTAGAATCCAGCCATGATGCATTGAGAAGCCCATGCTACAGAGCTAGGCCACATGCAGTCCCTCTAGTTGACAGCCTCTGTTCCACTCTCTGCTGCCGCCATGTGAGCAAGTCACCTTGGATATCTGGGCCTCCAGAGGACTGCATCCCTGGCCGACATCATGTGGAACAGAAGAACCACTATGCTGAACCCAGGCAACCAACACAATCATGAGAGATAATAAAAGAGTTACTTGCAGTCACTAAGTGTTGGAAAACTGAAACAATTTGTTTGTATGTCCTGCCAGACTGTAAACTCCTGGAGGACAGGTGCCAGGGTCTTGGTCATATTTATGTGCCCATCCCCTAGTGCAGTGGTCTAGCTCAATGGCTAAGAACTCAGAATCTGTTTTCAAGGGGCCTGGAGTTGATCTCTGCTCCACACCAGTTGTGTGGCCGTATCAGTCAAGGTGCAGTTAGGGCAGTAGAGCTACTAAGAGTATTACAAGCCTAAGAGACTCATTCCAGGAACTGGACCTTAAGAAAATATGGCAAGAGCTGGGAGGATGGAGGTCTAGAAGGGGAGTCAAAGGTTCAGAGTGTCTACCCTGTCTGTCTGAAGTGGACAAGTCAGAGCTTTCTGGGAAATGATGATACCAAACATGCCCAGCCCCTAGAGTAGATGGACAGGGGATGCGTAGCAAGGCAGTGAAAACTGCCCCCTCTGTCTACCTACTGCCTCTGTGGGCTCACTGTCAACCTTCTGGTTGGGAGTGGGGGGCTTCTCTTGTTCTAGAGGATCAGCAGTCAGAGTGACAAGCTGGATATGAAACAGAGGAGAATGAGGACAAGCTGTGACCTGCTAGATGCCTTTGCATCCGTCCAACACCATATGCAATCATCGTAGCCTACAGAGAATAATGGCCACTGCTCTACTTTCACCTTCCAAATCTCCTAAAACCCATAGCCAGATGGGGAAGGGAATCTGGGAAGTGTAGCTCCCATCTAAGCTGGATTGACAGCACCATGTAGCACTTTTGGCCTGTAGCAAATTAGTTTTCTCTGAGCCTTGGTTCCTCATCAGTAAAATAAAGATAGTAATAGTTACCAAACTCAGACTCCTGGAAATATTCAACGAGAAATACATGCATAGTTGTCATATTCTAAATTCTCAATGCGTGCTAGCTGTGTTCTTTGTATTAGAAGAAGCCCATTCATGTTTGTTGGATGAATGAATTGAAACTCTTTGGCAAGGCATAAAGGGGGCAGGGAATAAGTCATGCCTTAGAAGTTCAGGGCCAAGCTGGAAGACTGTGGACCTCTTGTGGGATGCTTGAGGCCAGAATAAATCTAGAAAACGTCTGTTAGACATCATCTGCGCCAACTGGCATTAAGAATCAAGAAACCAGTACTATGAGTTCAGTCCCATTTCATATCAACCCATCAATTCAGCTCTTCCAAGCACAGATAAAGGCTGCCCTGGAGACCAGGATGTCCAAGTATCAGAAATCCTGAGTCCTAGTCCAACTCTGCCACTATTTTCTCTATATACTTAGGTAAACCCTTCATCTGCTGTTGGGCTCTGTCTTCCCATCTGTGCATGAAACAGCTGGACCAGATGATCAGAGGGTCTTTCTGTGCTTTCCTTCCACAGGGACCGCTTAATGGAGGTGACATTCAGTTCAGAAAACTGCAGGCCACTCTAGAAGGATCAACTATTCCACCTCACAGTGAATATGAGACCACCTCATATGTGCAACTCACACTAACCTCTATAATGCATGCATTCCAAATTATAATTATGGGGATAAATCTGAAATGCATGGTGGTAGATGCAGAGCCAGCCCATATTAGCTACCAGTGTGGGGGGGCAGGAAGTGATGTGTTTTCATCACTTACAGTGTATCATGTGTTTGAGACTCATCATTTTATCATCCTTATGGTGACCCTGACCTGGGTGTTATCATCCCTAATTTCCAGTTGAAGAAACAAGCTCAGAAAGGTTGAGCAGCCCTGAGCTCTGCCCAGGTTCAAGCAGTGGCTCCGTGATGACTTTGAGGTTGAACCCAAACTGGCTTATTCTCAGAGCCTGCACTCATTTCACAGCACAAACTTTCCTTTGGGAAAGTTGAAAGTTCCACCCTCAGAATGGAATGACTTTCAGTCTCTGCTGAAGACAGGCAACTCAAGCTGAGCTTTACTGACCAGGCAGGCAGGAAAAAGAGCTGTTGGCACCAGAGGTCAAGTCATGGTGAACGTCAAGTATACAAATGAGGGCAGGGATGCCAAGCCAGGCTTCACTCATCATATGGTGTTAGCTAATTTGTGAACAGCAGTATTAGGGGTCTGAGCGAAGCAGAGGGTTCTTAGCCTTCTATCTTTAGTTCAAGGAAGGAGAGGGGGAAAAAAAGCCAGCATTGAAACTGAACCTGCGGTACCCCATGAAGGCTTTGCTTTATCATGGGAAGTTTCGCAAATGAGGACATTTCCCGCCCTTTAATTCTCTAAGGCTGCCCAGAATTTCAGAGATACTAGCCATAGTGTATCTGCCAAGGTATCTGCCAACAGTGGGTGGGCCTAAACCAGATGTGGGAACTAGGACAGGATCTGGGGCCTGAGAGCACATGTTTTTGCCTGGATCTGCACTAAGTAGATATTTGACAGCAGGACGAGTGGCTAGGAGGGTGGGCAAAGTCACTAGGCTGCAGGAAAATCTAGGAGAGATTCCAGAGCAGGTTTGGCAGAAGACAGGGGAATGTGAGATACTTGTGCTCCCTTTTCTAGGGCAAACAGATGCCTTCATCCAGTGGCCTGCCCTGACCTGACAAGCTTATCACTCTGGTTCTGCTCTTAACCCCAAGGTCTATCCTTCACACAATCCTACTGTGATCTCTATTCACCATGTAACTCAGACAATGTGACAGTTCTCCAGTAGACAAGCAATATGCAATGTACATCTTACGCTGTGGCCCACAAGGCCCAGGTTCCACTCACCTCCTACCACTCTGCACCTCGGTTTATTTGCTATAGAAACTGAGCAAATACTCCCCATGCACACCTCAGCCAGTGTAGACTCAATAAGTGCTGAATGACTTAGTAGTAAATGGGCAAGCAGACTTGAGCTACTGATCAAATTGTGTCTGCCCCTTGATCTTTTTTTCCAGCTTTACTGAGATATTTTTAACTTGCAGCATATGTAAGTTTTAGGTGTATATCACGCTACAAAATTACTACCACAGTAAGTTTACTTAATACCTCTATCCATTCACATAATTATGATTTTATGTGTGTGGTGATAGCATTTAAAATCTACTCTCTTAAAAACTTTCTAATATAGAATACAGTTGTTAATTACAGTCAGCATGCTTTGCAGTAGACCCCAGATCTTATTTGCATACAGCTGGAAGTTTGTGCCCTTTGAACCAACATCTCCCTATTTCCACCCAGCCCCTGGCAACCATCATTCTACTTTCCATGAGTTCAGCTCTTTTAGGTTCTGCATGTAAGAACATACAGTATTTGTCTTTCTCTGTTCAGCTTATTTTACTTAGCATAATGCCCTCAAAGTGTTAGTGTTAGTCACTCAGCCATGTCTGACTCTTTATGACATCATGGACTGTAGCCCACCAGGCTCCTCTGTTCATGGAATTCTCCGGGCAAGAATAGTGGCGTGGGTAGCCATTCTCTTCTCCAGGGGGTCTTCCCGACCCAGGGATCAAACCCTGGTCTCCTGCACTGAAGGTACATGATTTACTGTCTGAGCCACCAGGGAATGCCCGCTGAGTCAATCCATATTGTTGCGAATGGCAAGACTTCCTTCCTTTTTACGGTTGAATAATATTCTGTTGTATGTACATCACATTTTCTTTATTCATTCAGGTCACTGAGGAACACTTAGGTTGCTTCCATGTCTTGGCTGTTGTAAATAATTTTTCAATGAATATGGAATGCAGATATTTAAGATAGTGTTTTCATTTCCTTCAGATAAATACCCAGGAATGAAATTGCTGGATCATATGGTAGTCATATTTTTTAGAAGAACTTCCGTACTGTTTTCCATAATGACTGTACCAATTTACATTCCCACCAACAATATACATGGTTTCCCCTTCTCTACATCCTCGCCCCACACTTATTTTCTCCATGGTGACCATTCTAACAGATATGAGGTGATATCTCATGGTTTTAATTTGCCTTTCTCCTAGTGATCAATGATGTTGAGCATCTTTTCATGTACCTGTTGGCTATTTGTATGTCTTCTCTAGAAATATGTCCATTTAAATCCTTTGCCCATTTTTTAATTAGATTTTTTTGCTATTATATGAGCTCCTTATGTATTTTATATATTAACTCACCAGGCAGATGATTTTCATCTATTTCCTCCCATTCTGTAGGTTGTCCTTTTATTTTGCTGATTGTTTCTTTTGCTGTGCAGAAGCCCCCTTATCTTTTCTAATCCCCTTCTTCTGAGCGTAAGGACCTCACTTTGGAGAAAGTCAGTTTTCTACTTTCCTCTGACTAGATTTGACCAAATTCCCACTCACTCCTCCCAGCATCTATTAATAGAAGAAGTTCTTAAAGGGACTCATTCAGCCAAACATACATCCTGATGCAGTGATTGTGGGAGCCCTGTAGAGGGGAAGTGACTGGGCCGAGGTTAGGGAGAGGCAGGGCAGGGCCTGGGCTCCAAAGTCAGGAAGAAAACTCCGGGACTCGCAGCCGTCATGGAGGACCCTCAGATGGAGCCAGTGGCCTCAGCATTCCTTTGGACCCCAATAGGCTGTGACCCAGGATGGGATGCAGTCCAGCATCTGTGTGCCCTGGTCACTCCACAACAGCCTCTTGGCTGAACCTGAGCCCCTGCTGCCTCCAGGACCTCTGAGAACATCTTGAGTCAGCCCCAAGGAGGATGGCCTCACTGTTCTAAGAGCAAGAGGGAAGCCAAGGAGAAAGAGAGAGGAGGCGTCTAAGTTCACTGTGAGGTGGGAGTGGAAGATGCTCCCAGAAGGAAGATTTCACAGTTAATGGAAGGAGGGACCTGGGGTGAGGAAAGGAGGTGCAATTATGTAGCAAAAGCGTGCAGGTAGCATTGCTTTGTACAGTCCACACAGGAGGGATGAATGCAGGGGCCCCAGAGCCAAACCTGCTGAGTTTTCCAATCTCAGCTCTACTCTAGGACCTCGGCTAGGTCACTTAACTCTCTAAACCTCAGTTTCCTCGTCTGCAACGCGGGGAGAGCAGTAGGCACCGCTCTGCAGTAGACTCCTACCCAGAGGCCCTCAATGCAGCGTGCTACTGCCCTGCTGAAGTCCCCTTCCATCCTGACTCTGGGTGTGGCTCTGCGATGGGCTGTGGCCAAAGGGACATGTGCATGGGTGAAGCTAGCGGGGGTCTGGTGACCACTTGCACACTGGAGCTGGTCCTTTTAGGACATCTCTTCTTAGAACCCAACCACCACACTGAGGAAGCCCAGGTAGGCACGTAGAGGAGAATGAGGCCTGGCCAAGAGCCCCACTGAGCTCCCACCAGCCAGCAGCAGCGCCACCTGCCAGTCATGTGACAGGCCATTGTGGGTCCAGAGCCCCCCATCAGTACCACGTGAAGCAGAAGAAATGCCTGGGCAATGCACAGAATCACGAGAGAGAGTACATGGTTGTTACAGTAAGTCTCTAGGGCTTAGGAGGTTTGTTACCCAGCAATAGAAAACCCAAGCATGGTCCCCTGAAATTCCAGGGAAGATTCAAAAGGAGGATAATCCCCATAAGATGTGCAGCACAGTGCCTGGTGAGAAACAAGCGCTCTGTAAATGTAGTGACTGTACTGTGGTCATTTATCATCCACCAGCCATGGTGGCTCAGATGGTAAAGAAGCTACCTGCAATGCAGGAGACCTGGGTTCGACCTCTGGGTCAGGAAGATCCCTTGGAGAAAGGAATAGCAGCCCACTCCAGTATTCTTATCTGGAGAATTCCATGGACAAATGAACCTAGTGTGCTACAGTTCATGGAGTTGAAAACAGTTGAACATGACTGAGCAACTTACACACACACACACTCACACACACACTCACACAGCCATAGAATATTAGCCCTATCACTATCCACACACAGACACTAACAAGGAACAAGAAGTTTGCAAAGCGCTTTCCTGTGCTTACATGAAGGCAATAGAAACCCCAAAAGGATTAAGGGCCATGTCCACGATGACTCAGGGCCTACATGGCTGGGCTGGACCCAGACTCACAACATCCATAGCCCAAGCATCATGCCACATAACCCCAAACAGTTGCTCACATACAGCACCGACTGGTCTTGGGAAGAAATGCAACAGACGTAACGCTTCCCTAGAAAAAGCTGTCTTAGGATCCCATCCTCAGTGTGATTAGAAGCAGGACACTTAGAGCAAGTCTTAGGTTCCCCATCTCAGAAGTGGACACAGTGCCCGGGGCCTGGCTTCCAGCAGGGAATGCTGTGAGATTCAAAGTGTGTGTGGAACAGGGGGATGGGTTTTTGGCAGTTTTCTGCAATAATCTGTGAAGGGTCTGGCCTCTTCCCATGCCCAAAGTGGGCATGCTCCCTGCACCAGATGATGAGGGGCACACAGTAGGCCTGCATGCCCTGGCCTCAGAGCATGTGGTGTCTGGGAACCTCTGCCCCCACCGCTGCTTGGGGAAAGGGTGCCACGGGCCTCATCGCTGACCAGCCTGCTTCTGGCCCCCGGCCTGCGAGAGAGAAGTGGTGAGCAGAAGCTGCCCTTTGTTCTGCCTGACAGCACCCCCATTTAGATGTTCGCAGCCCCCCTCACACTCCTACCCCCTGACCTTCTTTTCATCCAGCCAGAAAAGGTGATGGCACTGGCCCAGCTGCTCCCACATTTGATATTTGTCTTCTCATCTCAATAGGAAGACTGTGGGGATGTTTCCCAAAAAGTGAATGGGGAGCACGTGGCTTGGTTGAATGACAGATGCCTGCAGTGGAAAAGTTGATGACTCCTCAGGCCTCAAGGTGTCTGAATAAAGCCAGGAAGGGACCAAAGGAACAAGCCACGTGTTATCTGGGAAACAGCATCTTGGCAGCAGGGACCACAGGGAAAGAATTTTGATGAGCATAGTTCCTCCAGCTCCCCAGATCTGACACCCTTACCTAGCCAGAGGACGGTCATCCAACCCAGGTACTGAACATTCCTACAGGAATACTGACTAACTTACAAAGCACAGGCAAATCTGCCAGGATCCAGTCTGGGGTCTCTGTCTGTATTTAGCGCCATGAGTAGAGTCATGGGTGGCCTCAAGGCAGCCAGTCCCATGGCTCCTCAGGACCAGTGAGGGCATCTCCATAGCAGGGGCAGGCAGGGTGGAGCTGGTCTCTGCAGGCTTCTCTCCTTGGAATGACCTCCTGGCTCCTCAAAGCCCAGTGTGGCTGGCATCTGACTGCAGGCCCAAACTCACCTATCACTGTGCGCGCACCCTCCAGGCAGCCCGTCTCCTTCCTCATCCACTCACTGCTCTGACAGGGCCCAACGGGGAAACTGAATCTGCCACTCAGTCCCCTGCAAGTGTGGGTCACTCACAGTAATCTCCCAGTTCCAACAGAGATCTTGCAGAATAAAGAGGTGAAGAAAGACGGACCCTCCGTTCAGCCTGCCTGTGGGATGGAAAATACCTCTTGTGGGCTATGGCCCTTTGTCATCTTATGACAGTTTCTGACATAGCAGTGCTAGCTACAGTCTGCATCACCTCTTTCCCCGGGCAGTGGACAGAGGGTGGGTGCCCCTGCTCACCTACCACGTATGGGGCCCCTCCAGCCTCGCCTGCACCCAGACTTTGGCACCAGGAAGAGTTTGTGCTTTGGGCAAGATGCCCTCTCTAGTTGACCCTCTTCATTGCTGTCTGGTTGGCTTCACACCTCATAAACAGTGGTTTGTTTTTGTTTTGCAGAGAAGGAAATCTTGTGTGTGGGCAGGAGGGACAGAGTAAAGCCCCCTCATCTTGGCTCCCTCCTTTGTGCAGGGCCCCACAGGCAATAAGTAGATAATAAATATTTACTTAATTAAATCAGCTCAAACTTCATCCAGAGCATCTCAGACCAAGGGCTCATTTTACAGATGAGGGTGTGGGGACCCGGCGAGCGGACGCCCTCTGTGTGGGGCCTGAGAAGGGTGGACAGACTGGACGCTTGTTAGTATTGTCTGGGAACCTTGATGGCACCTAATGCTCAGCTGGCATCCTGACTGATTAAGTCAGAATCTGGGGGTGGGACCAGGTGGAGGTGTGAAACTCTGCAGGTGATCCAGGTGATCTGGTTGGTGGGCCCTGGCCTCAGGGAGGTGAAAGCAGAGCCTATATGTGGAGGCCAGACTAGGGAGGGTGCTGTCTGTGCCCCTGCCAACCCCCAACGAGGAGGGGTATCTTTGGTGAGCTGAGTGGATGGAGAAAGCACAGGGCATTTCAACACATGTGCATATTGTGTCTCCTGGCCCTGCCGAGAAACCTGCACTGCGGTTGGATGACCCAGGACAGGCTAAGGGGCAGCAAGGTGTCCCAAGGTAGTCCCGAGCCCAGACTAGAGAGAAAGGGCCAAGCTCAGAGTCCCACTGTCCTGAGGGACGAGACAGGACCCCAGCCCTCCACACCCAGCTTTCTCCAGATGCCTGTGCCTTCTTGTCATTAGTGAAAGAGCTGAAACAAGTATGGGTCCTAAAATCTCTCGAGGCAGCAATCTCATTTAACATTTTCTTACTCCAAGGGCACACTTTAGAGACCAGAACGATGCAGGCTCGCCTACCGTCAGGAGACACAGGGCCACCTGCTCGGGGTCTGCTCAGTTCTCTGCCCCAGACAGCACAGCACTGCATCGGGTTCTGCAAAGGATAAGACTTCTTAAAAATCATAATCACACACCATTTCACACCTAAAAAATAATTCCTTCATATCATTAAATATCCAGTTAGTGTAACTGACTATCTCATAGTTTATTTTTATGGTTTATTTCCTCAAAAGAGGACCCAACAAGATTTACCCACTGCATTTGATTAATGTGATTCTGAAGTAATTTTTAGTCTATAGTTTTTATCAATTACAAGCTGGATTACTCCCATTGAGAGAAACTTTCCTTCATTAAATACTTAGCTTGAGATACCATTTGTGTAGGAAAGGAAGGTTAAATGCTAAATTCTTTTCCTCTAGATACCACTTTTCAGAGTAAAGAATTAGTTATCCAGCATCCTCCAAATGTATCAATGTGTGTTTTTATTTATTTTGAGCATCATTAACTCTGGGCTTTTACCACACTTGACATCTTAGTATTTCAATTATTTTTCTTATTGATATTCAAACTGTCCGTGTTTGAGTGGTGGGAACTGGTTAGGTTGGCTCCTGAGTCTTTCAATCCTGACATCAAAGATTTTTTGGGTTTTGTTGTTGTTTTAATTTTATTGAAATATAGTTGATTTACAATGTTGTGTTAATTTCTGCTGTACAAGAAAGCGATTCAGTTATAAGTATATATATTCCTTTTCATATTCTTTTCTATTATGGTTTATCATAGAATATTGAATATAGTTCCCTGTATTAAACAGTAGGAACTTGCTGTTCATCCATCGTATAGAGAGTAGTTTGCATCTGCTAATTCCAACCTCCCAATCCTTTCCTCTCCCCTCACCCCTTTGGCAACCACAAATCTGTTCTCTATATAGTATCTGTGAGTGTTTCTGTCTCATCATTTGTGCCATATTTTAGATTCCACATATAATATTATTTGGTATCATATGATATTTGTCTTTCTCTTTCTGACTTACTTTGCTTAGTATGATAATCTCTAGGTCAATCCGCATTGCTTCAAATGGCATTATTTCATTCTTTTTTACCCATTCATCTGTCAATGGACATTTCGGTTGCTTCCTTGTCTTGGCTATTTTAAATAATGCTGCCGTAAACATTGGGTGTATGTATCTTTTAGAATTGTGATTTTCTCAGGATAAATGCCCAGGAGTGGAATTGCTGGATCATATGGTAGCTCTACTTTTAGTTTTTATGAGGCATCTCCATACTGTTTTCTGCGGTGGCTGTAACCTATTTATAGTATCATCAACAATGGAGGAGGGTTCCCTTTTCTCCACAACCTCTCCAGTATGTTACTTACAGACTCTTAAAAAATTTTATTTTGCTGTTTATTTTTGGCTGCACTGGGTCTTTGTTGCTACATGCGGACTACTCTCTAGTTGTGATGTGTGGGTTTCTTGGTTGCTGCAGAACGCAAGCCCTAGGGTGCATGGGCTTTAGTAGCTGCGGCTCAGCGGCTCTGGAGACCAAACAGATGCCGCTGCCGTGGTGCACGGGCTGAGCTGCCCCATGGTATGTGGAGTCTTCCTAGATCAGGGATCAAACCTGTGTCCCCTGCATCGGCAGGAAGGCTTCTAACCACTGGACCACCAGGGAAGTCCTAGACTTTTTGATAATGGCCATTCTGACTGGTGTGAGATGGTACCTCATTTTAGTTTTGATTTGAATTTCTCTAATAATTAGTGATGATGAGCACTTTCTTATGTGCCTGTTGGTCATCTGCATATCCTCTTTGGAGAAATGTCTATTTAGGTCTTCTGCTCACTTTGCTATTGGGTTGTTTGTTTTTGAGTTATATGAATTGTTTATGTATTTTGGAGATTAAGCCCTAATCACTGACCTCAAAAGTCTTTGAAAACTTCCTCGCTTTTGAAATAGTATCTCAAGATGTCCAGGTTTACCTTCTACAGTCCTGGTCCATTTGTCCAGGAATCTCTGGTTCGTTTGAATGGAAAATGGTTTTCCACTACCTGGAAACTAGGTTACTCGATAGTTGGCCAGTATTTATGGCATTTTCAATGGACAGGACAACCAAGTAGCTCTCTGCTGTTTTTGTTTCATTTTCAAGATGAAATACGTCATAAATTTATACTGATTATTTTCAGTTCAAATTTAGGATTATGGGGATTTTATTGAACTTTTAAAAGTCTATATTTATATCTTTCACACTGAAGATCTTGGTTCTAGCAACATTATCATAATCACTTACATGCCTAAATTTAACAATAAATGTAATAATTTCAGAAAATAAACTGGTATCATTACTAACAAAATGACGATAAAAACAACTTTTTAAAAATTCTTTTTGCCTTAAAATAATATACTTTTAAGGATATATATTATAATTAACTGAAACCATTCTTCTGTGTGTAGTTATTCCACAAATTTGATATGTTAGGGTCATTTGTTTCATTTTCCTTTTTATTTTTAGAAATTGCTTTTTACATTTTTCATTTAATTTTATTTAAAAACAAAAAAAAAATTATTTTGGCCACAATACACAGTGTGCAGGATCATAGTTCTCCAGACAAAGATTAAATCTGGGTCACCACAGTGAAAGTGCTGAGTCCTAACCACTGGACAGCCAGTGATTAGTTTTATAAAACTCTCATTTAGTTTTATAATTATGTAAAACATTAACTTGGTTCCAAAGTCAGCATATAGCATAAAATAAGGTACATAAAAGAAATCTAGTTCCTATCCTAGTCCCATCCATCAAGCTCCTTCCCTCCCCCAATGTTGCCATTTTACTTTTATAATTTCTATGTTAAAATTATTTTGAATGAATTAGCTTTGAAATTAAGCATGTGTGTGTGTATCTATATGGCCTCTCCTTTTCTGATAAAAGCATACCTATATACCTTGTTCTCCATTTTTCTTTTTTCACTTAACACAGTATTTTGGAGGAATGTTTCATGTCAGGGTATGGAGCTGTGCATCATGCCTCTGTACAGAACTCAGTCATATAATTTTACCATGGTGTATTCAATCATTCCCTGCCACGGCCATTTAGATTGTTGGTAGTATTTTATTCTTATTAATAGAGCTACAATGGAGAGATTTGTGCATGCATCTTACTTTTTTTTTGGTCAGTGCATTTTTGGGGATAGATCAATGCATAAGAATTATGTTAGGTATTGGAAAATTCTTTATTTTCTTGGGCTCCAAAATCACAGAAGATGATGACTGCAGCCATGAAATTAAAAGATGCTTACTCCTTGGAAGGAAAGTTAAGACCAACCTAGACAGCATATTAAGAGGCAGAGACATTACTTTGCCGACAAAGGTCCGTCTAGTCAAAGCTATGGTTTTTCCAGTAGTCATGTATGCGTGTAAGAGTTGGACCTTAAAGAAGGCTGAGTGACAAAGAATTGATGCTTTTGAACTGTGGTGTTGGAGAAGACTCGAGAGTCCCCTGAACTGCAAGGAGGTCAAACCAGTTTATCCTAAAGGAAATCAGTCCTGAATATTCAATGGAAGGACTGATGCTGAAGCTGAAGCTCCAATACTTTGGCCACCTGATGTGAAGAATTGACTCATTGGAAAAGACCCTGATGCTGGAAAAGATTGAAGGCAGGAGGAGAAGGGTACAACAGAATATTAGATGGTTGGATGGCATCACCAACTCGATGGACATGAGCTTGAGCAAGCTCTGGGAATTGGTGATGGACAGGGTAGCCTGGTGTGCTGCAGTCCATGGTGTTGCTAAGAGTCAGAGATGACTGAGCGACTGAACTGAACTGATTGGAAAATTCTCCTCTACAGGTGTAGCTGGGGGGAGGTGAGATTAGTTGGACAAGACTCTTATATTTAAAAAAAAAAAATTTATTTATTTTTGGCTGTACTGGATCTTTGTTGCTGTGTGGACTTTTCACTAGTTGAGGCAAGCAGGTGCTACTCTTTGTTGCAATGCTTGGGCTTCTTATTGCGGTGGCTTCTCATGGGCCCTAGGGCACTTGGGCTTCTGTAGTTGTAGCACATGTGCTCAGTAGTCGGGGCTCCCAGGCTCTAAAGCATAGGCTCAACAGTTGTGGTGCGTGAACTTAGCTGCTCCGTGGCATGTGGGATCTTCTTGGACCAGGGATTGAACCCAAGTATCCTGTATTGGCAGGAGGTTCCTATCCACTGAGCCACCAGGGATGTCCGCAGGATGCACATTTTGAGTCACGTTTCTGCTTTTAAGAATTTGGATGCTAATATATTTTGGTAAATCACTTCAATAAAAAATTATTTGATTCATGTAAAAAAGAAAAGCTAATAATTTCCCAGAAATAGATGGGTTTGCATTTCAAAATTTGTTTTTGTTATGTTAAATTTATAAAATTTGCACCCAGCTTGAGTTTACTTCAGGATCTTTTCTGAATGACTTCCAAGGAATCATTGTTTAGAATTTACTGTGCAAAAGGAATTGGTGAGATGCTGGGCTAAATGCTGTTCATGATAAGAGAAATATGAGACATTCTTATCTTGGCTTTCCAGAATCTTATAATCCAGCTGAGGTAATAGGACTGAAAAACAACTATAACATAAGATAGTATGTAATACAGCTAAGCAAGATTTGCAGAGAAATATCACCACGAGAGGAGGACATTTCTAGCTAGCTTGATCAGGAAACGGTTCAGAGAAAAAGTGAGATTTGACTGAATTTGGGCTGTGAAGGAAGCACCTTTATGAGTGAAGGTGGGAAAAGACAGAGGGCACGTGAGTTTTAGGCGATGGTCCACATCTGGGGAAAATCCTGGGCCCAAGGTTAGGCTGGGTTGGGAGGAACAGGGAGAGAGAGGTTGAGTCTGGGCTGCCTGACATCATTAGGAAGTCATTGAGGGCAATAAGAAGTGGGGTTCCATGATTAAACTAGCACTGTGGGGAGATCAGCTGGGTCCTGTGGACAGACAAAGGCATCATCTCCTGGAGCAGAGAGAGCTGCTAGATGGTACAGACTTGCCAGATCCAGTGCAACAGGAATGAAGAGCAGCCCCCAAGGAGGAAGGCACACGTGGGGTGATGACTTGACTGTCAGGGTAGGTGAGCAAGGGATGAGTGACATGGTGAGGTTCTGTGCCTGCAGTGCTTGGAGAAAGAGGACTGCGTTGGCCAGTAGGGAGAGATCTATACTTCCACTGATTTCCCATGGAAATGCTGTCCATCCTGTCTTAACTCTGGGCAATCTGGGGGGAGGTCGTGACGTGAGGTCCTCAGAGGGGCCAGTTGTTGATGAGGTTGTCTGTGTGCAACTCTGGAGAACCCGTGGGCTCCTGGGGACCTAGATGTCCCCTGGGGTTGAGGGAGAAGATGGCTGACCTCTTCTGTGTCTTTCATGGTGCAGGGTTTGGGACTTTCTCTGGAAGCCGTGTCAATTTCCTCTTGACTCCACTGGGAGGTTTTTGAAGTTGCAGAGTCAAGGTGGACATCTGGCCATCCAGCATCATTTTTATCCTGTTCTCAATAGCAATCCTCTTAAAGTCCATCCCTCCCCAAAACCTTGTCCCTGTGGTCCAAGGGGACACCCTCCAGACCTGGCTCTAGGGGGGTGGTGAGTAATCCAGGGATACAACCCACCTAATATTTTCAGGCAAGTGCATGGTTCAGGAATGACCATTGCCACTCAATTTAGAATTGGTGTTGAGCCAGTGGGGAAGGGGTCTCTCTGCTGTTTCCCACTGGATTTGAACCTGAGAAGATGTAAGGTTGAGGTGACTGTGGGCATCAAGTCACCATGTGGCTCCTGTGAATCAAGTCAACACCGCCAAGAGAACACAGGTTGTCTTTTAAGTATTTACTTTAAAAATGTTTTGGCATGAAGAGTGCACTGCCTGAGTGCAGGTTAGATTCTGTGACATCCTATGGCCTACTAGCTGGCATTTGAAGTACCTCTTCAGAAACCCGCCCTTCACAGGGGGTTGCTGAATCCCTTTATATGATTTATCAGTGAAATGAGTGATGTGGAAGCACAAGGGGGACCAGACAGACTCTGCTCTCTTCTCCCCTCTGTCTGATCAGATTATAGATATCCCACCAGCCTGATGACCCCCGTCCTGGCAACCTGGCTCTTCTGGTCCTGCATACCCTTTTCCCAGAGAGTGGTGATGGGAGCTCCCCTTAGAGTGAATCTTTCAAGCAGATGCTCATTGGAGGATCCAAAGACAGAATAGGGTGCTGCAGAGCTCAGGTTCTGCAGAGAAATTAAATCATTTTCCTTCTACCCTTGTGGGTTCTTGAAATATCAGACAGATTAACAAGAGAACAATCAAAAATTGATTAGCATGTATCCCTCCTGTATTCATGGAGATAACCAGGGAAAACTGAGCAACTCCCCGAGGTGCCTTAGAATCCAGGCTGAAATATTACTTAATGGAAAGGGGAGGGAGAAAGTAGCCTTCTTAGGGGAGAGTGAATGGTGATCAGGAAAGATGAATGAGCCCTCGGAACAGTTGGGGGGAGAGGGGAGTATGGCCTTCTGTGACAAAATGTGTGGGTGTGTACTGTCCCTTCCTGTGACAAGAGTCAGTCAGTTTGATGAAACCCCCAGGGAGGGGATTTATGGCGACTGAGCTCCTTTTGGAGGATCTCTTTAGGTAGAAAAGGGAGTTCAGAGAGAGCCCTTCCCTGTATTTGCTATTTTTCAAGTTCCTACAACTGAAAATAATCTGCACACCAACGTGGTCTAATTGGGGTGGCATGCCCTGAGCTCCTATATGCATATATTGGGGTGGCATATTCTGCTACCCTTAAGTCCCATGACTTTTGTGTCTGTTGGCTAAGTATGTTTTTATGCACTTGTCAGGCTTTGGTAGAAGGTTTGCCTTCCTAGTTCCAGCTTCCGACAGCAGACGAGCAGTGGCTAGAGCCCACTTGCCTCTTAGAGCTGCTGACGTGGGTATTTCCCGTTGAACCCCCTCCTGTGGAATGACCACATTCCCTTCAGGCTGAACTGAGAGACGGAGGAAGAGAATGTTCTGAGGACATTCACTGAGCCCTGAATTTGGCTGTGGCCCCTGGACTTTTTCAAGGATGAAGGCATTATATCCCCTTTTTGCTCTGGCATTTTGTTTCAAATATCTGTGAAATAGAGTCCTAACTGATCAGCTCTTCCCCAGCAGTACACACGGTGAGACTGTAACGATACGGCACCCAGTCAGTCATCCTTGCACAAACAGAAGCCCAACACACATGTAAACTCTATTGAATTCATTCCACTTTATTTTGGGATGGATACTAGAGACCACAACTCACAAACATACCAGTGGACATTGAAAACTAAGGCCATTCTGTGAGTTATTTTTAAAACCTAGTGTTTTGCACATAATGATCTTTTTAAAAAAATGAATTACCAAAACCAAGATTTCTCTTCTGAAATAAGAATATAAGGTCGGCACATGACAACTTTAGGGCCATATCTAATCTGAAACTCATCATGTGACAAGAGCATCTTTGTTTTCTACAACATAAATCATAGCCCTGAGGCAACCGCTACCCTCAGCATCAAGTTCTCTTTTCCAGATGGCATCATAAAGTAGTATTGACCACAGTGACCAGTGTTCTATAAATACTCCCAGTGAATAGCAAAGAGACTTTTACCTAAGAGACACACTGCAGGATTCTTGGAACAAGAAAAAGAAAGGGACCTGTAACTAAGGCACTGAAAGCACATTATTTATATAAAGAAATGTAAACAATTTAATACCAACAGGCTCCCTCCATTAGTCTCTATTATAAAAGTGCACAAGGGCAGCATGGTCAGGCGCTTGAAGTCCGGGTGAGATGGGAATGTCTCCCTGGAGTCTCAGCTGCCGACGGTTGACAACGTCTGACTTAGGGCTGTGGACGTAACTCATTTCAAAGTGACTCAAGAGGAAGCTGTGTTTTAGTAGCATGACAAACAAGGAAAGGAGTTTACTAACAGCTTTAAATTATGGGCTCTGACATTTATTTTTCTTTCAGTCTCCACCATGTTCTTCTACTGGATTTTACAAGTACTTTGGCTTGTTTCATCAAAGAGGCCTGGTGGGAAGCCTTATGGCCTCATCAGTGCCCTTCGTTCGTTGTATGTTTCTATTTTAAGTGTAATCTTTCATGTCCCCTATAAACCACACTCGCTTTATTTAAAACATTTCCAAATGGGAAAGATGTGACAAGTGGACACATAGCGCTGTAAACATTTCAAACTCCACTGAGTTTACTCTTGATGGACTGAAAGGGCTTTACGATGGAGGCGAGGGCCCATATGCAGCCAGACAAGGGGCTGCTGAGTTCAGAGTGAGGGTGGGAGGTGGGGAGAGGCTCCTTCCTGGGGCCAAGCAGGACTGAAGCTGCATTAACCTCTACTTGACATTACTACTAATCTCTACTTGCTATCAGTTTTAGAGTTTAAATCATGGACCATATATTTCTTTAAAGAAGAGAAGAAAAAGTTGGGTAGGAAAACACAAATAATTACAATTTTAAAAGAAGCCTTATTGCAACCCCTCCCCATCCCCCCCAAAAAAACACAAACAAAACACCCCCCCCAAAAAAAACCCAAAAGAGGCAACTTTTTTCTTTTTAAAGTTACCATTTCTAAGTCTTAGAGCAAGTACAATGTCTCAGTTTCTGGGCTTATGAGTTCTGGGCATTAAAAAAAGAGCTTGTGTTTTATCATAAAACATGTTTTTTTTTTTTTTTTTTTTAAGACCAAAAGAAATCGTGTTTGAAAAAGTGAGAGTTCCCCCTTTACAGGTTTCAGAGGGTTAAAGAGGACCTGCCATTAAAGCCAGAGCAGCCAAGAGAAGCCTGGAGGAAGGGGGAACAGCCTACATTACAAACACCTGAAGGGTAGAAAGTGCAGCCTATCTCTCTTACCCAGGACAAAGGCAATCCTGATTGCTAAACTATTTTCTTGTTTCCAAGTATAACCAGAAGTCTGAGAAAGACCTAAATTAAAAACGTCTTTTATTGGGGGCTGGGGGTGGGGAGAAGGTTTAAAAAAAAAACAACCACCTTAAAAACCACTGAAGACCTGGGTCTGGAGCAGATGTGGGTAGTAACGAATCAGAAGCCCCAGCAGTACTGGAAACAGCCTCGGGGGAGGAGTTAAACAGGCTGGGCCTTCAGTAGAGGCCCTAGTTAGAACCCTCCCAGTGGAGGTGGAGTGCTGACAGAGGGCTGCTGTGACCAGGACCTTCTGGAAGAGTCTGCCTGGTAAGTCCAGCTCACAGCGTGCTTGCCTTCCCCGGCGATGCCCGTGTCCACTGCTCACTGGATGGAAATCACCGTCCAGCAAAAACAAAACGTCATTAAGGAGAAAGCGCTTGCACCAAGAGCAGACCAAGCTAGAAAGAATGTCTGGGGCTGGTTCAAGGCAGGAATAAGCGGGCAGGTTTGCTTTACAGGACAAGACTTTCAATTGCCCCATCTTTTCTGCTACTCTGACCAGCATTCCCATTAGGACAAAATAAATAAATAAAATTTAAAAAGTAATTGCAAGGCTCCAGTGGAGTGGAAACCTCGACCACATATTTCTTTTTTTTTTTATGCCTCAGAAGGAGACTGGTACTGTTGGCTTGCTGGATTTTCCACTGACTCCAAATGACAAGAATATTTAGGAGAACAATTGGTCAAAAGTGGGTTTAAATTTTACTAGTGAAAGAGGAAGCCTGAGACTAAAAAAGAGAGAGATCCCTATCATTAAGAAAGGATTCATTTTTGTGACCACTTTGATTTTAATAAAATTTGTCAAGGCTACAAGGGTTGAATAATTTAGGTTAAACCATTACGGCCCTGTCTGCAAGTGTTTTTGTTGTTGATTTAGTGGCAGAAGTTAGACACACATGCACATGTAGAAAATACAATAACCTTCCTTTCTTGTGGAAGGTTTTAAAGAAATATTTCAACCAAGACACAACTTCAAAAGTGAGTTTCTGACGGCAATACCAGAATGTTCTCAAAAAGGTAAGTGACTTTGATGTATACCATTGTTAATGCAGAAAAGCGACACCTGCCAACAAGCTGTAAAGAAACAAGTGCTAAATATGCAAAGGTACACAGAAGTGAAGAACTACTGTTTGAAGTCCGAGCTTTAAAAATTTACACTAAGGTTTCTGAGTGGAGAGCCTGTGGTTGCTCCCTGAGACTCGTCTAGGTCTTATTTTCTGCGTTGAGAAAAGGGCACCGGTGGTTTTCTGATGTCTCGGTCAGTGCAAGGCTAAATGCCAAGGTTTCATGAATAATGAAGGGCTTCCTATCAAAATGTTTGTTCGGCTTAAGGAGAAGGTGTTTCTGTCTTCTGGTCTTAAGAAGGATGCAAGGGTTTGATTGGCATAGGAAGGGGTGCAGGGACAGTGCCGGGAGGGAGCTGGGAGGAAGGTCCCTCACCTTCGCAGTCAAGTGCCGGCACTTGATCTGGGCTGATGCTCAGGAGCTTCAGTGCTGCCTCCCATCTGGGGAATGTGTCAGGAAGCAGGGCTGGACCTGTAAGGTCTGTGTGTACTTTGACTGCTAACAGCCTGATGATTGTTTACTAATACTCCAGCCCTCGTTAATGTTGCCACCATCGCTCCCTGCTACACAGTGTTGAAATTACATTCAGAGATTAAAATAAAAAAAAAAATTGTGTGTGTAGCAATATTGTTCCACAAAACTAAGTGCAAAATATCTTTTAACAAATAATGACGGTAAGAAATATTTGACACAGTCATGCAAAAATGCATCTCCATTTACAAAGCCTTAGAACATTTCCGAAACACACCCTAGGCTTTTCCACCGTGAACCTTAATGATCTTACTCATTTTTCTTGGCGTTTAAATGTGGCTGTTTGTGTAAGAGGCGGTAACTTGCAAGTTCGAGGATCTCCAGTCCACCAAATATTCTCTCCTGCAGCACGAACATGATGATGACAATGATGAAATACCACCGGACAAGACTGTACAGGTAGATGAACAGGCACATTGTGGGGCTGAACAGGGTCCAGTAGAGGATGGAGAGGAATTTGACCACCAGCACCCTGAGCTCTGACTTGCAAGGAGGGACGACCGTCTGCCCCGTGAAGGAAAAATTCTTCTCTCCTTGATAGAAGGAGCGCAGCCTCTCTTCTTTCTCCTCCCACCGCTTGTGGCACCAGAGCTGGAGGTCCTCCTTGGACTTGGGGAGGGTGTTCACGGGGTACCGGTGGACGTGGAAGTGGATCTCCTTGGGAAAGTCCCCGAGGAGGAGGTGCTTCTCCGTCTGGGGAATGTTGTGAGGGTATGCCACCGTGATGTCATGGACAGCATCAAGGTTCTTACCTAGGTTTTGGAAAAGATAAAAATACAGACGGAGTAAAGATCCATCTGGACAGCAATGCTGATTCACACTGAAGGCAGGGAAAGAAAAATCAGGACAGAGTGAACCAAGATGAACAAACAAGGGCTATAAATACCTGTGTTCCTGGGCTCTTGCGTCAATATTTACCAGTCACTTTTAGTTTTTTATCTGCTTGCTAATTACCACAAAGACCTTTAGAAAGAAATCATCTTTGTTTCTAGAAATAGGAATCTGCCATTCAAGAATTAAATAAATAAGTACCTTAAATTAGATTTGAGATAGGAATTAAAGAACACAGCTCTTTTCCACCAACAGGATTCACTGTTTATAGAGAACTCCTATCAATAGACACCCTCTCTCCAAATAAAAAACGTTCTTACTTTTGACCCAATATCACTACAAAGGCTACTGGAAAGAAAAATTCTGTGTCAGAGTTGATAGAGTGGTCAGACATGCCTGAAAACCTCCATATGACTTTTTAATTTCTAGAAACGTCAGTGTGAAGTTGAATTCAGAGACTGAATGAGACCCTGACTTAATACTGCCATCATCCTAAGAAATTTCATTGTTTGGTTACTGTGGGGTTGTTTTCAGCAAAGTCATATGCCAGGTGCTGGAGATGGAGAAGTGAACCAAAAAACACCAATCCCTAACTTCACTCCAGAACTCACAGCAGAATCAGGGAGACAGCAAGCGTCTTAATGGGGAGCCGTGGCAGGTGAACCTCCCAGCGTGGAGGGCTCAAGGCACTAAACTAGGCTGGAGGCGTTCAGTGAAGACACTCACTGTCAAACTTGAGAAAGGGAACTCAAGTCTGTAGGTGATAGAGAAGCACCTAAGTGGTAGAGAACCTCTTAAGGATTTTAAATAGACAAGGAACCAGAATTTGTTTCATTTGAGCAGGGGTTAGCTTGAGAGCAGTAACAAGAATAGTTTGGGAGAGGACCAGGGGCAAAGAGGTTGGAAGAGTAGTTTGGTCATTACAAGGCAAGAAATGAAGAGGAGGTAGGGACTAAAAGAAGTGACGTGTTCAAAAAAAATCACAAGGGAGGACTGACCTGACAGAGTGCTCAACTGGAGGGGGTGGAATGAGCCCAGGTTTATTTCTGTTTGGGGTTCTTGAACGGACTAGGGGAAGGGATCTCTGAGATTAGAAATGGAACTAGAGTGCCATCTTTAAGGAATCAAAAGGATCACCCATGGAATCCTGTAAGAGGCCCAGGAAGGTTAAGTTTTTGGCCCAAGGACACACAGTGTGTTGATGCATAATCTCTGAATGTTGCTTTCTTCCATACCAAGTAATCTTCAGTGAGAGACTTTTGATTCATCACAGAACTCTATGATGTAGGCAAAATTAACTTGTGGTGGAAATCAGAACAGTAGTTGCCTATGGGGGCGGGGACTGGTGGGAAGGGAGCATGAGGAAATTTGGGGGTGGGGGGGGCCAGAGACATTCTGTATCTTGATTAAGAGTTTGGATTCTATTAAATGGTACATTTAAGACCTGTTCAGTTTCACTCTATCCCAATTTTACCTCAATCTTAAGAACAACAAAGATACAAAGCAACTTCCCCACCTTATATCACCATGTTTCCCCTTCATCCTGAACCATTAGGTCGTGCTCAATTTCTCCGTAAATGTTGGCAGGCAGTCTCCTCTCCTCTGTGATTTACTTTAGGGAAAGGACTAGGTTCCAATCTGGTTTCAGAACTGTCTTATAAAATACTCCAGCCCTCAAGAGCTATGTCGTTAAGAAATGAGAATTCCCGTATCGACAAGGTTTAGACTCAGAACTGGAGGGAAGTCCTTTTGGGACACTGGGCACTGTGTACCTTGGAGCAGAGGAGGCAATGAAAGGTTGGTCCAGGCAACTCCAGTGCACTTGTACCTGATGGCCTGGAGGAAAGAAGAGGCCCGAACTGTTCGGCTTCAGAGGAGGGAAATGGGTCCTGTGGTGAGAAGCCACAGGAAAATACTTTTTAACAGCTGTCGAGAGGTGATGTGCCTACTGTGTGAGAAAAGGCTGGCTGACTCCCACCTGGGGGGCTGTAGCAGGAACCTACCCACAGGAAGGAAGGCTGTCTGGTCAAGCACCCAAGACCGATTGTCACTGGAACACTGAGCACGATACATCCACTAAGATGGTAATATAATATGTCTTACCTGTTAACCTCACCTGCACTACAAACTGATCAACCTTGTGTCAATTCAACATTAATCATGACTACCCTGCTCTGTATTGATCAAACTTTTCCTTGACAAGTGAGTTTGATGTTTTACTGCCCCCTCTACCTGTAGACCTCAGAGCCTGTTCATCGATGCCCACCAACCAGAACCACAATCCTTGTATTATCACAAACTGGTAGCAAAGTATATAGAATACATACTATACAGTAGTAAGAAACTGAAGATGCCCCTTTCTGCATTCCTCTTAGCAAGCTGTAGGTTAGGAGGTGTGTGTGTACACGCAGACAAGTGTCTGCTCAAAATACATACAGCGAGTTTGGGGACAGAGATGGTACCACTTACAGAAATGTTCTGTGAAAAAAATTTCTAGATTCATTGTAGTGCAGAGCATGAGGGCTGTGGAGGCAGACTGCCTAGGTTCAAATCCTAGCTCTGCTTCTTAGTAAGTGAATGAATTAATCTCTGTGGCTTATTTATTAGTTCCTATATCTATAAATTACCTCATAGAGTTGTTGTGAGGAATAAATGAGATAAGTAAAAACACAAAACAGGATCTGATATGTAGTAAGTGCTCAACAAATGTTAGCTGCTGTGGCTGTTACTGAATCATAATGTTAGCATGTTGGGCTCTAATGTGAATTTAGCTTTGAGTAAAAAGCAGAGACATTACTTTGTCAACAAAGGTCTGTCAAGTCAAGGCTATGGTTTTTCCAGCGGTCATGTATGGATATGAGAGTTGGACTGTAAAGAAAGTTGAGTGCCGAAGAATTGATGCTTTTGAACTGTAGTGTTGGAGAAGACTCTTGAGAGTCCTTTGGACTGTGAGGAGATCCAACCAGTGCATCCTAAAGCAGATCAGTCCTGGGTGTTCACTGGAAGGACTGATGTTGAAGCTGAAACTCCAATACTTTGGCCACCTGATGCAAAGAGCTGACTCATTTGAAAAGACCCTGATGTTGGGAAAGATTGAGGGCAGGAGGAGAAGGGGAAGACAGAGGATGAGATTGTTGGATGGCATCACCGTCTCAACGGACATGAGTTTGAGCAAGCTCTGGGAGCTGGTGATGGACAGGGAGGCCTGGCATGCTGCGGTTCTTGGGGTAGCAAAGAGTCGGACACGACTGAGTGACTGAACTGAACTGAGTCCACAGATGCCAGCATGGATAGTGGGGAAAATACTGCATTCAAACATCTTTAAACCACTGTCCAGGGCACTGCTCTTCTGAGCCCTGAAGACACCAATTACAGACTGCATGTCTTCCACAAAAGACAAATGTTCAAACTGTTATTTCACAAAGTGGCCAAGGACACTGCTCTGCCTCAAATATTTCAGACTCTTTCCCTGAAATATTTTATCTCAGCTTTATTCAATGACCAGCTCAAATTCTAAGGGTTCTAAGAAGAGTTTCCTTACGTATTCAGTGGTCTTGTCTGCAGTGAGTGCCTGAAGCATATGTTTCGATGTGCTCATTTGGGCATTCACCCGCCATCCTGCAGGACAGCAGGAGAAGCTCACGAGAACCCAGTGTCCCAGGAAAACATAAGAATCTTAAGGGCAGGACCATGTCTTTGACTCCTTAGAAGCTTAGTAACTAACATACTGTACTGCCCTGCACTTAAAACACACGTTTTACCAATATCTATAGTCTGTCTATCTTCTCATCTAAAGATACAGGGGGGAATGATAATGCCTTCTGCATGAGGCGGTTATAACAATTCACTAAACTTTTATACACAAGGCTCTTTGCATAGGACGGGCACAAGGGAAGTTCTTAAATGTTAGCATCCATTACAACTTCTATATTCAGTTAATGAGACTGGCTTGCTCCATTGGATCTTTAAGCAACTTGGTTCTGTGAATTCTTGGTTCTGAAAGAATTACAACAATCTTGGATGAGGGTGCTGGGAGATCATCTTACAAAAAGGCAATATTCCAAAAGTTTCTATAAGTTGCTTGTTTGGAATTTAGAGCTGTGGAATGATAGAACTCAACATAATTAAAATAGTATCATAATGGTATTTAAATGCTATTTATATTTAATAGTATTTAAGACATTTTAATTATGTTGAGTTCTATCAATATAAGACTACTAAGAAAAGAGATTACTTTTCATACCATCTCTTCAAGACCTCCTGCCCTGGGGCCTCTAGCCCAGGGAAGTCCTTGCTACCAGACAAGGTATCTTCCTCCCAGGGGTGGGCAGGCTGGCAGAGCTTGATTCATATGTAAATGACAATAATGAAATGGACAGTCAAAAGTTGAGATGTGCCTTTATTTCATTTACCAATTTATAATAGTTAAAACAATGCATAATAGATTAAGATAAGTTCCTGCAATGACAAAGAAGTTACACTACCTTTAAATTTTCTGGTATGAGAACAAGAGACTTTTTAGTATGTGAATCATGATGGTTGCCATCAGTAAAAGCCATTTTTAGAAGACTGTATTGCTTTTTAGATAGTTTTAAATTAAAAATCTCAAAGCTCCATCTGGCTTAGATGCTGTCTGCCTACATGGGGCTTAGAAAATGGATCTGCTCTGTTTCTGATACTGTGTCTACTGGACAGTTTCATACTTGAGTGTTATTTTGAAAAGCAATCATTCTGTTAGAAGAACAACACTCAGCTGGGTCCAGAGATGTTTGTTCTCTAGGACAGAGAAAGCACTTGCTTAATATTTCAAGTCTTAATTTTTAGTCTCAGACCGAGACTGGGGGAATTCTTAATACTTCAGTTGTGTTTAACCAATAGAAGTTTAAAAGGCATGACTGGACTTCATGAATGTCATCCTATG